GGACGAGTCCGAAGAGCCGAGTGGCCCATATCCAGAGCTTGTGGGCTTCCTCATGTACCTGATGACCTGCACTCGACCTGACCTTGCTTACCCTCTCAGCATCCTGGCACGCTATGTTGCGCCTGGGAGACACCGACCAGAGCACTAGGAGGTCGCTGAGAGGGTGTTTCGCTACTTGTGCAATACGTCGTGCATGGGGCTCGTGCTTGGAGGACGGAGTTGAGTTGTTCTCACTAGCCACGTAGACGCGTCTTGGGTTGAGGACTTGGCTACACAGCGGTCGTCATAGGGTTACAATTTCAGCCTTGGCTCCGGTTCTGTCTCTTGGCGGTCTACTTGCTCGTCTTCTGTTCTCAGCTCCAGTTGTGAGGCTGAGATCTACGCAGGGGCCATGGCTGCACAGGAGTTACGCTGGCTCACCTATCTATTTACCGACTTGGGAAAGTGGCCTAGTTCTTCTCCATTTCTGTACGTAGACAACAAGGCCATGATTGCCTTGTGTCAAGAGCACAGACTGGAGCACAGGACGAAGCACATCGCTCTGCGTTACTTCCTTGCTCGAGAGTTACAGCAGTGTGGTCAGCTTCGCTTGGTTACGTGGCCACTCAGGCCAACTTTGCTGATACATTCACCAAGGCACTTCAACCTCGTGATCATCAGCGTTTCTGTACTGTGTTAGGCCTTGTCCCTACTTTCCCTCACTTGCTCACTTCGTGACTTTGCTTATACTGTGGTCTGTATACTTGTACCTGCTTGCTTACACTTGCTAGGTTGTGATCACTTTACTGCTTGTTCCCATTTATATAACTCTGCATGTGAACTGGCCTTGTGGCCATTTCCTTGTGCTCGGAGTGTCTGATGACTTCGTGATCCACCCTGAGCTTGCTTTGCTTTTCTTGACTGGTCTTGTGACCCCTTGTTCACCCCCACTTTGCCTATGGGGGTGTGTCAAACTATCATGTTGTGTGTGTTGTGTAGGCTGTAGTAGGGTAGCCTATATACGGTACAACCCAATTAGGTTTATACTTGTACCAACTTTCTGCCTACTGCATTCATTCCTGCTCGTTAGTTTCTGGCAGTTATCGCTTCCGCAAATGAGTTTGGGAACATTCTAGTGCACACGATCTATGTATAGTGTGTCCCTCGAAAAACACGGACCCTTGGTTAGGGGCTGGCTTTGCCAGGCACCCAGGGACCCTTGGAGGTGACCCCTTGTGCACCAATTTTTGTGTATTAAAGGTGTGCTTAGAACCCCTAGATCCCAAATAGTGGTCAACATCTGCCACAAGCTTCGTCAGCTATAGGCTAAAAGATGCAAAGCGGTCTTTCGGGCCCGAAAAATCGAATGTGTTGTGTAACAAAGAGGATTGCGATAGCTTCGTAGCAGATGCGCATGTACACATTGCGGAGAATTCTACCCTACGAGGGAGACAACGTGATGGCGCGAGGGGTAGAGTACAGGCTGTTGCTCTTGAGTCTTGACAGAGTTGTTGCTTAAGCAGAATTCAAGCAACGTTTCACTGAGGAAATGAGTTGAACAAGATAGATTACATGCAAGATTGAACCAATATACTAAAACAAGGGAACCCTACACAAACCTTCCTGGAGGGACGTTTAGCTAAGTACCATGCATGTGCCATGCGAATGCAGCAATGGCAGGTGAAAAGCAAGCTCATGCATTTCCACCTAACTAGGTAGTTGCCTAGGTTGTACATCATTCATAGATGTGCACGTTTTTTTAGTTACAAGAACGTATAGCAGGTTCTCTTTCAGTTGCTGGTTCAATTTCTCCTGACGGGTACAATTTCCGTCAGAATATGATTGGTCAAAAAAGTCTTGCGCTCCCATTGGTCGAAATTCACGCACATTGAATTTCTCGCGAGATTCTTTTGTGTGTTCGCATGGGTGCGCAGTGGTTACGGTGACCCTGCGCAGTTGAACTCTCGCGATCTTATGCACCAGCTGCGCCCTCTCCACCTGTGCACGAGATGTTTCTGCGGATGCTACAATGCTCGTGCATGGGTTCCCTTGTACACCCCTCGTACAATCAACCTTTCTCCTCGTGCAGGAGGTCTTGGCCTAGCCTGCGCAGAAGCTCCACATTTATCCTATGCTTTTGTAGGTCTTTTCTCAACACACATAATGTAACGATTTACAAATCCTTACTGAGGCACTCGTTAGCGAGGCCATCCCGAGGGTCACGCGACGAACCTGTTCTTCCTATTTCGTCGCACCGAACCACTCCTCCCGAGTCGCCTCCGCACCAATCGCAACCATCACCGAGCCATCTTCGCCCAACCTCCTCGCCTAGCTAGGACTTCCCCTATTTAGGCCTCGTCACTTCTGTTGTATCGTCATTCGGTACTCAATCATTCTTGTTATTCGATATTTTGCGCACTCTGCAAGTTCATTCACAACACATAAGGACCTTGGCTGTTGAAATTACGAAATCAGGCAGTGTCGGGTATAATGAGCAGGGCTTCAGATTCGTTTTGGGCCACCCTTAGTAATCAGGGTTCTAGGTATAGTCAACCCTGGTGCATAGGGTAGAATTTTTGTTTCTCTGACAAATGCAGGGTAAAAAAACAGTTAGTCTGTTTGGGCAGAGTATTCTTAAACAAATTTGTATATTAAAAGTGCCAAAGCAATAAAGTTCAGTGGCTAGTAGTTCAGCTGGGAGTGTGGCACACTAGATCTGGAAGATCGCACGTTCGAGTCTTGCTGATGATATGATTTTGCAGGGACCTGTATAGTGTTTCGTCTCACTACGGAGCACCCGGTACCAGTATAGCTGGGATTGTACAATGTACAGTCAGAGTAATGTGTTCCTTATGCTGTTTTTCAAAGGGTATTGAAAAACTTACACTTTCTGGCCTAGGGTAAAAAATACACTACCCTGCTTGTGAAAGGGTAACTGGAAAAAGCGGCCGCCAGTCAGTGCAAAAAGGGTATTTTACCCTGATAACGAGAGGCCTGATAATGAGGTGCATCAAATCTTAATGGTGCAACAACCTTGTTTTCTAGAGTACGTAAAGGATGAAACAATCATTGGTCAGATGCGCTGCATTATGGTATGCTCCGAGGATGATATACAACCCACCGTGGATAGAAAACCCTGATGCATGACTAAGGGTCCTGGCCTCCAAATTAGGTTATGATTGTCGTGATTTATACACAAGCTCTCTCTAATGGATATTTTACACTATCGAAACAAGCACTCAGGGGGGGCGTGCTGCTGCTTGGTGGTTGCTGCTGACACATACTGCGAAGCTTCTGTACCCTTTCTGTTTTCGAGCCGGAACACAACTCAATTCACGTCACACAAACATTCCCGCCCGCCCACACTGGCAGGTTTGGCCGTCACTAGAATTCGGTGACCAATGAGGTCGTACTCTGGTGACGGAGGTAACGGCGTCTCGGGCAGTAGGGCTGTCGTGAAGTCGTCGTCGTCTCAGTCGTCAAACCTCAGAGTGAACCGCCGACAGGTGCGACTATGAGACAGGATCTCTCACCTGCGCCTCCCTCCTGAAATGTGACGCGATGCGATTTTCCCGTCCATTTCCTGCCTTGCATTTGCAAATCACCTGTCCGTCTCAAGTGTTTGCGAGTAGGTATCACCTCGTGTTACATACAGCCACATCAGCACATTGCAATTGGTCATCTAATCTCCGATCGACATCTCAGCATATTCCTACTCAGATGCCACGTGGACAGCTAGATAGTTATCTCAGCCCCCAATTCACTCGGCTGGGCAAGTCGTTAACATTTACAGTCTTAGTTCGTATTTCATGACGTTATTTAACGGTTAAACGTGGTATTATCATTTCCCACGAATTCAGTCATTATGAAACGCAAGACCCGTACAGAAGACGCATCAGTTAAATACCCCCTGGGTGCAGTCTTACCAGGGAAGCCTATCGAGCTCCTTAGGGCGTGTAACATCGCAGCGAACAACGCTCTGGTCGACTGTTTAGTCGACCATAAGCTTCGCCAGTGTTCGCGAGGGGCGACGGATTTACAACCTCCTAACCGCCCCTTTGGGCGACTAGACAAGACGTGGCTGATTTGGAGCAATCTGAAAATGCATCGGCGAAACGGAGTAGAGTGCAACAATCAGGTGTAACGGCACACGAAATGAGTCGGATTGGTGGAATCAATTTGGACGAAGGATATTCGTCGGCACGCGAAGAATCGCGTGAGTTCGCGCAGGCCAATACGAGTCACAAATTCTGAGTTGCACGGTTTCACGGTTTCAATCGGCATTGTGTCGCGACTCCTCTCGTGCACATTCGTTAAGCACCTGTGCGACAAGATGGTCGACAAAGCTGGTGTACACAGAGGCATACTGGAAGGTGCGGAAGGCTGGTCGATTTGCTGGAATTGCGATGGCGAACTGAGCGAAATGTAATCCTCGCAGAAACCGACGGTTTGTAAGTGGTTCGCTGCGATGTTACACGCCCTTGCCTCCCATTCTTGCAGCTTTCTTGCCACTCTCCCGCCTATTTCTGTCACCTTCTTGCTCGTCATACCCCATTCTTGTTGTAACCATTTCACACAAGTTCACTCGCCAGCGCTCTGCTTTTGGGATCACCGCCAAGACCAGTTCCAGTCACCATCATAAATCCCATCGCTCACAGAAAAGCTCTTTCTTCTAACGAAGTCCCGATTTCCCGCCTCTTCCGACGTTCTCCGCTTCCTGTTTTGCCTCCTCCGCCAAGCTCGTTCGTCGCGCCCGTCGCCACTTATTCGTGTCCCCTTCGCTGCTGTCGCCCTCGTCTTTGACAGAGTTTGCTAGGACGTCTGCTCCTGTCCGCGTACCAAGGCAATAACGACCTTAGTGCGCGCAAGGGTCAAGAAAAGTCGTTGAGATATTTACCGGGCATCGCGACATCTACGTCGCGTCGCCGCTGTGTCACAACTAGACTTAAAGAGCTGTTTTTAGTAGTCGCTTTTCAGGTGCTGCCACCGCTTCAGCGAACCAGTGATTAACCACCTTCGCAATGGCTTCTTCACTTCTTTCGATCCTCGATTTCGCCGCCACCTCCAAGGTCGTATCCCCTGCCCCCACTGGTACCAACGCCACGTCAACCACTGCCAACTCCCCGTCAGCCGCAACTGACGCCACTTCAACCACAACCAACGCCATGTCAGGCACTCCTGCTGCCACATCGGAGGCCTGGGAGGAGGCCATGCGCACTCAGCTCTCCACGTGGTTCGACGACCCAGATTTCGTCGACGAGGTTCCGTCAATGACGGTTACCGTCGGCGATAACGCCCTCTGTCAACTCGACGGCGTCGCGACGGTCGCGCTTCCTCCCGATTCGGTCTTCTCCGTCGTGTGCGATCCGCACAACCGGCGCGTGTTCAAGAACATCAAGTCCGTGAAGAACGAGCGCGTCGTGAGTGACTGTAACGGGGTGAAGGAGCTAGAAATGGACATGGTCTTCGCGTTCCAGCTGCCTTTCTTTACAGGCACATTCGACGCCGAAGTGCGAATGGTCCACGATCGTCCGAACCGCAGGATGACGTTCGCGCTCAAACAACCCGGCTTCATGCGCAAATTCGAGGGCTACTGGCAGGTCGAACCGCTCCTCGTCCCCGCGTCTTCCGCGAATGCCCCCTTTCCCACGTCTCTCGCCTCCATCTCCTCCTCTTCCGCCCCCTGCTCCCCTAGTTTCACTTCCGCGCCGCAATCACCCATCTCGGATTCTTTTCCGTCGGGTCGCCCGGAAGGCGACGAGACGGACTGGCCTGGCAGCGCCAGCAGCAGCCCAGATCGCCCGCCGAGCTCCGCGGACCCGGGCGCGGGCGGCGCGGGGGACGCCGCCGCGATTGGCGCGGGCGTGCGGGTGGCGTCGCGGCTGACGCTGCATCAGGTGGTGCAGCCGTCGCTGGCGCCGCCGGCGATCTTCAAGCGATGCATCCACACGATTCTCCAGATGGCCACGCGCACCGTGCTGGTGGTGTTTCAGCACGAAGCCGCGCGGATCCGGAGCAACAAGGGGGAAGCGGAGGTGGAAGCGGAGGGGGAGAAGGGCGGAAGGTGGGGCGCACTGTTTTTGCACAAGGAGGCGTTTGGGACCAAAAAGAGTGGGGCGGGGTTGGGGAAGGTGGGCCTGGGGAAGGTGGGGTTGGGAAAGGTGGGTCACGGTTTGAAGGGAGCAGTGCATAGGAAGTAAGGGGAGGATGTTGATTTAGGAAAGCAATATGAGCGGATATCGCCTACAGCTCACAGCACTCCAGTGGAAGCAGCATACTACAAAGACTCTGAATCAAGTATGGTATACATTCTTCATTCGAACTAGGTTGGTGGGTGGTTTGATGGAGCGGCAGCTTGGGCAGATTAGAATGGGAAAGGATGGGATGGGATGGGATGGGATGTGGTGGCAGCAGGTGACGCATCAGAGCAGTTTTACAGTGCGGCCCTTAGGCATGGTGCTGACACCACCAGCAGCAAGAGTGGCAGGTTAGCAGATGTGGAGTTTGGGAGTAGATGTGGGGAACACCTGGTTTTGTCAGCGACATGCTTTAGAGTCTATCTAAATTGTTTCATTGTGGAGGCTTTTGGGGTTCTAGAGGGCTCTGGATGTTGGAGAGTTGACTGTGCATGACCTGCTACTAGTACACTGTTTGCATGTTTTGATCTCAATCAATGAGCCTCTTCAACATGCACAACAGCCAGGGCCTCAGATTGGTTTCAGGCTAGGCTGAAAGATCAGAGTTGGTACAAAATTCTATGCTGAAAAACAGAGAAATCAGCCCATTTTATGCCATTTTACACTACAAATATAGTAAAAAATCCTGTTTCTTCACAAAAAATTGCTGGAAAATCAACCTCGATTCTGAAAAAGGTCTGAATCTCAGCCTTTTTTACTTAAATCAGCCTTTTTTCGCTGACTTCTGAGGCCCTGACAACAGCTCATTCCACCGCAAGAAAGATTGCGTTTCCAGGGGTGTCTGATCTGGACAATATCCGGCCTCCAATGATGTGTGAGGTATGGGATGGGAAACATGTGCCCTACGAACTTCACAACGCAACCACCGTGGAGTCTCACACAACACACAAATCGTACCAATAATTTTTCAGCTATACCAGTCTTCAGGTTCAACCCTAATCCGTATCAGCAGCATTCATAAATCAGAAGTGATGTTCCAAGAAGTAGTCTAGATGTTTTCCCCAGAAAAAAATAAGGCGGCACTCTCTAGAGCAGGCAAAACCGGCATTATGTAGATTGACTCTACTCGAGCACTGAGAGATTCGAACTCTCGCGGGCAGAGCCCATGTACTTAGCAGGCACACGCCTTAACCACTCGGCCAAATGCTCACGACTTTTGGCATCTTCTTGTAATTTTGTCGTAAAATGTTAGGCGTAGAGATGTATGTCCGAATTAAACTTACAACCACTCTTCTGGACTAATTTTTGCTTCTACTTGTTTCTGACGTAGGTATCGCAACCTTACCAAGTCAAAAATGCGTGCCTGCTGTAGCTTGTTACAATTTTCGTGAAGCAGCTCCGGTTCAATTTTCACACCGCACAGCACTGCACTGCACCAGTTGCAACCCCTTCTTGCAGCTTATGAACGGAGGGTTCCGTTCCCCACCATACCGCGCAACAAAATCTGCATCTGAACCTTCACCTGATAGTGCTTCAGCTGCCGATGTAGAAACTATCCAGGTCAATGCATTCATCCTGTCTCTACCAGGTTCAGTTAGCTGGCCATGCGAAGCTGCTTGGAAGGAGGGGACCCACAGGGAGGAATGGGGACGACAGGGGGGAGAGGGAGTAACAAGAGAGGGGAGAGAGGGGAAGTCAAGACTGTCATGTGCATGTGAGCGTAAGTCAGGACTCTCATGTGCATGTGAGCGTAAGTCAGGACTCTCATGTGCATGTGAGCGTGAGTCAGGACTCTCATGTGCATGTGAGCGTGAGTCGAGGCCCTCACTCTGGATGGTTTCTTCGTCTTGCTTCTCTCCCGTGCTGCACCCTCTGCACCGTCCCCTGCTCCTCCTGCTCCTCCTCGTTCTTCTCCTCCTCTTCCTTCTCCTCCTCTTCCTTCTCCTCCTCGTCCTCCTCCCACAGGAGTCCCCTCTCCCCTTCCCCCAACACCCCCCACCGCTCCTCCCCCCACCCCACTCGCTCCTGCCAGTGTAACCCCTGTATCTGCATTAATTGGTCCTCGTGCATTACCCTCTGTACTCACTTCCCCCCGCGCCCTTCCCCTGCCTCCTCCCCCCTTCCCCCCTCTCTCCGCACCCCCTCCTCCCCCTCTCCCACCGGGCCCTTTCCCTCTCCCACGCCCCTTCCCACTCCCTTTCCTCCTCCCTTGCTCCTCCGCCTCTGCTGCCACTGCCGCTGCTTCTGCTGCTGCAGCCACAGCAGCAGCAGCGGCCAGAGCAGCAAAAGAAGAGGCAGCAGCAGCAGCAGCCGGGGGTAGGACAGAGTAAGGTTCCCCCTCAGGGGGAACGACCCACTGGGGTAGAAGAGGGGCTAAGGGAGGAGCGGGGAGACGGGCAATTGTATTGCTGTTCCTGCCTACATGCCCGCCTGTCCTTGAGCCTGTTAAAGCAGCAATCCCAGCACCACTACTGCCACAACCACCAGCATTGCCACCCCCACCCCCACCACCAACCCCATCACCAACCCCACCACGGCTACCACTGCTACCATGGCCACCACTACCAGCAGCAGAGCCAGCGGCAGCGGCGGGAGCAGCGGGGAGAAGAAAAGCTGCCGCTGCTGCGGCTGGGTCGAGAGGCGAGGTGAGCAAGGGGCGGCCAGGGGCGAGAGAAGAGAAGATGGATGCTGGATGAGGGGCGGTGGCGGAGGTGGTGGTGGTGGTGGTGGTGGTGGTGGTGGTGGTGGTGGTGGTGGTGGGGAGGTTGGAAGTGCGAGAGCGAGAGGACTGGGTTCTGATGCCGTGACGCGAGGAGGGGCCAGAGGAGGTGGAGGAGGAGGAGGAGGAGGAGGGGAGGGAGGGGTGCGAGGGGAGGCGGGACTTGGGAGGAAGGTCCTTTAAAATGAAAAGGACCATGGCTGAGGGGACAGTCTCGCCTGGGGAGGGGAGGGGAGAGGAGAGGGTGGATAGAGTGATGTGAGTGGCAAGGACAAGAGGGGAGGCGAGGCGGGACTTGGGGGGAAGGTCCTTTAGAGTAAAGAGCCCCATGGCTGAGGGGACCGTCTCACCTGAGGAAGAAATGGAAGGGTATGCGGGACAGGTGGAAGAGCAGAGGGCATGGGGGGATTTTAAGGTCCTGAAAATAAAGAGTAATATGGCTGAGGGGACCGTCTCGCCTGGGAAGGACGGGGAGAGCGGGGATTATGAGATGAGAGCGGGGATAATGAGATGAGAGCGGGGATATTGAGATTTGAGCGGCAGTGACAAAGAGGGCTGGAACGGGATAGAATGGACGGCAGGTGCAAGAGGGAAGCACATGGTGTGACAGCAAAAGTCCTCTTCTTGACAGGCAGGTGCTTGATAATGAAGAGGACTTCTGCTGATAGGAATGCCTTCGGACAAGGGAGGGAATAGTGTGATGGCTGGAGTAAGGGTGGGGGAATAGTGCCATGTGCGGGGCAGGCACAAAAATGCAGATCTAGAATGCGTCGCACCAAGCAGCACCGCATGATCAGAAAGACTTGGTGACTTGGTTATGGCCAATACATCCCTCGTTTGGTGACACTACTATCTGAATAATCTCGAGTCGACTCCAAAGCCATCCAACCCAGTGACAGCGGCCCTGTGCATCTGGCACAGTTTTTGAAAGGGCCCTTCAACAAGAGACGGCCCCATGCACGTGGCAATGGCACCCAGCACTGCTGTTGCCGCACCCAGAGCTGACCTATGCAGTGACACTGCTGGCACTGTTGGCACTGCTGGCACTGCTTGCTGGTAACGGCCCCTAAATGCGAGGAAGACGCACCTATGCAGTGGAAGACGCACCTATGCAGTGGAAGACGCACCTATGCAGTGGTAGACGCACCTACGCAGTGGAAGACGCAACTATGCAGTGGTAGACGCACCTATGCAGTGGTAGACGCACCTATGCAGTGGTAGACGCACCTATGCAGTGGTAGACGCACCTATGCAGTGGTAGACGCACCTATGCAGTGGTAGACGCACCTATGCAGTGGTAGACGCACCTATGCAGTGGAAGACGAACTTATGCAATGGTAGAAGCACCTATGCAGTGGTACACGCACCTATGCAGTGGTAGACGCACCTATGCAGTGGTAGACGCACCTATGCAGTGGTAGACGGAACTATGCAGTGGTAGACGCACCTATGCAGTGGTAGACGCACCTATGCAGTGGAAGACGCACCTATGCAGTGGTAGACGCACCTACGCAGTGGAAGACGCAACTATGCAGTGGTAGACGCACCTATGCAGTGGTAGACGCACCTATGCAGTGGTAGACGCACCTATGCAGTGGTAGACGCACCTATGCAGTGGTAGACGCACCTATGCAGTGGTAGACGCACCTATGCAGTGGTAGACGCACCTATGCAGTGGAAGACGAACTTATGCAATGGTAGAAGCACCTATGCAGTGGTACACGCACCTATGCAGTGGTAGACGCACCTATGCAGTGGTAGACGCACCTATGCAGTGGTAGACGGAACTATGCAGTGGTAGACGCACCTACGCAGTGCAAGACGCACCTATGCAGTGGTAGACGCACCTATGCAGTGGTAGACGCACCTATGCAGTGGAAGACGCACCTATGCAGTGGTAGACGCACCTATGCAGTGGTAGACGCACCTATGCAGTGGTAGACGCACCTATGCAGTGGAAGACGAACTTATGCAATGGTAGAAGCACCTATGCAGTGGTACACGCACCTATGCAGTGGTAGACGCACCTATGCAGTGGTAGACGCACCTATGCAGTGGTAGACGGAACTATGCAGTGGTAGACGCACCTACGCAGTGCAAGACGCACCTATGCAGTGGTAGACGCACCTATGCAGTGGAAGACGCACCTATGCAGTGGAAGACGCACCTATGCAGTGGTAGACGCACCTATGCAGTGGTAGACGCACCTATGCAGTGGAAGACGCACCTATGCAGTGGTAGACGCACCTATGCAGTGGAAGACGCACCTATGCAGTGGAAAACGCACCTATGCAGTGGAAGACGCACCTATGCAGTGGTAGACGCACCTATGCAGTGGTAGACGCACCTATGCAGTGGTAGACGCACCTATGCAGTGCTAGACGCACCTATGCAGTGGTAGACGCACCTATGCAGTGGTAGACGCACCTATGCAGTGGTAGACGCACCTATGCAGTGGTAGACGCACCTATGCAGTGGTTGTCGCACCTATGCAGTGGAAGACGCACCTATGCAGTGGTTGTCGCACCTATGCAGTGGTAGACGCACCTATGCAGTGGAAGACGAACTTATGAAATGGTAGAAGCACCTATGCAGTGGTACACGCACCTATGCAGTGGTAGACGCACCTATGCAGTGGTAGTCGCACCTATGCAGTGGTAGACGCACCTATGCAGTGGTAGACGCACCTATGCAGTGGAAGACGCACCTATGCAGTGGTAGACGCACCTATGCAGTGGAAAACGCACCTATGCAGTGGAAGACGCACCTATGCAGTGGAAAACGCACCTATGCAGTGGAAGACGCACCTATGCAGTGGTAGACGCACCTATGCAGTGGTAGACGCACCTATGCAGTGCTAGACGCACCTATGCAGTGGTAGACGCACCTATGCAGTGGTAGACGCACCTATGCAGTGGTAGACGCACCTATGCAGTGGTAGACGCACCTATGCAGTGGTAGACGCACCTATGCAGTGGTAGACGCACCTATGCAGTGGAAGACGCACCTATGCAGTGGAAGACGCACCTATGCAGTGGTAGATGCACCTATGCAGTGGTACACGCACCTATGCAGTTGCTATTTAGTCGGCTCAAGAGTCACCTTGCTGCACTGCTGGCAATGCACCTTGCTGGCACTGCTGGCAACGCACCTATGCAGTGGCACTGCTGGCAACGCACCTATGCAGTGGCACTGCTGGCAACGCACCTATGCAGTGGTAGACGCACCTATGCAGTGGTAGACGCACCTATGCAGTGGAAGACGCAACTATGCAGTGGTAGACGCACCTATGCAGTGGTAGACGCACCTATGCAGTTGCTATTTAGTCGGCTCAAGAGTCACCTTGCTGGCACTGCTGGCACTGATGGCAACGCACCTATGCAGTGGCCCTGCTGGCAACGCACCTATGCAGTGGCACTGCTGGCAACGCACCTATGCAGTGGCACTGCTGGCAACGCACCTATGCAGTGGCACTGCTGGCAACGCACCTATGCAGTGGCACTGCTGGCAACGCACCTATGCAGTGGCCCTGCTGGCAACGCACCTATGCAGTGGCACTGCTGGCAACGCACCTATGCAGTGGCACTGCTGGGAACGCACCTATGCAGTGCCACTGCTGGCAACACACCTATGCAGTGGCACTGCTGGCAACGCACCTATGTAGTGGCACTGCTGGCAACGCACCTATGCAGTGGCACTGCTGGCAACGCACCTATGCAGTGGCACTGCTGGCAACGCACCTATGCAGTGGCACTGCTGGCAACGCACCTATGCAGTGGCACTGCTGGCAACACACCTATGCAGTGGCACTGCTGGCAACGCACCTATGCAGTGGCACTGCTGGCAACGCACCTATGCAGTGGCACTGCTGGCAACGCACCTATGCAGTGGCACTGCTGGCAACGCACCTATGCAGTGGCACTGCTGGCAACGCACCTATGCAGTGGCACTGCTGGCAACGCACCTATGCAGTGGCACTGCTGGCAACGCACCTATGCAGTGGCACTGCTGGCAACGCACCTATGCAGTGGCACTGCTGGCAACGCACCTATGCAGTGGCACTGCTGGCAACGCACCTATGCAGTGGCACTGCTGGCAACGCACCTATGCAGTGGCACTGCTGGCAACGCACCTATGCAGTGGCACTGCTGGCAACGCACCTATGCAGTGGTAGACGAGGAACCAGAAGGGCAGCAGGTTGCCGTGCTTGTCCCGAAAGGACAGATTCATTATGGGCTGTGGTGCACGAGGGGTGGGCATGAGGGGTGGGGCAGACGGCGTTGGGCGGTTGGCGTGGGGCACAAAGGGCGGGGCAGAAAAGGCGGGGCACAAAGGGCGGGGCACAAAGGGCGGGGCACAAAGGGCGGGGCACAAGGAGACAGTCACGAAGAGGAGGGCCAAGGCTAACAGGATTAGGCAGAGAGAGGGATGTACTGAGTGAATGAGGGCACAATCGCACCAGTGAGGACTGACTGGGATGGCATGTGATTGGCTAGAGTGCAACACAGTATGAGTGAGAGAACTGACTGGAATGGATTTGGCAAGGACGATGAATGCGTGGAGGGAGAAGCAGAGCAGAAGCTGTGCAAGGGGAGTTAACGCCAGTGAGGTGAGGGGACTGACCGGGATGTAGTTTTGAGATGTCTCAAAACTTGATGTGAGCGGACTGACCGGGATGTATTTGGCGAGGACGATGAATGCACGGAAGGAGAAGCTTTTGAGTCGACTCAAAAGCAAATGGTGAGGGTTTCCATGAGTACTTGGCTTGGCTGACCAGGCACTTACCGGAATGTACTTGGCAAGGACGATGAATGCACGGAGGGAGAAGCAGAGCAGACACATGCCGGCCAGCCATGCAATCTGATAGGGGTTTGGGGTTTAGGGAGGTGAAATGGCAGAGGAATTATATGTCAGGGAGAGACATACAGGCAAGGGGGAAAGCAAGAGGAGGGCACAGAGGGACGTGTGGTGTGAAGGGCAAATGCGCATTCCTCGTAGCGTTGCAGAAGGTATGTGAGTTCGTAGGACCTGTAAAATTACATGCACATCAAATACATCACACATGTGCCTCACCTTACACAGCGTCTTAAGCGCACTCGAATTTCACTATCGCCCAGGTCAGCAGCGCCTTGATGATGTCAGCACGCACCATGCTGATGTCAGCACCTACCTTGCTGAGGTCAGCAGCGCTGGGCCCAGCCCTGAGCACAGACATTTTGGAGAAGAGCAGCAGCCCGTAGAACGCGAGGCCTCCTCCTGATAGCAGCGTGGCGACTGCAAAGAAATCCGCATGCATCTGATGGGCGTGAGGTTGGGCAGGGAGAGCGGGTGGAGGGATTGAGAGAAGAATTGCAAGGAGACGAGACGAGTGGCAGCCCGTAGAAGGCAAACCCTCTGCCTGACAGCAGTGTGCGCGACAGCACAGAAGTCCGCATGCATCTGATGGGCGTAAGGTTGGGTGTGAAAGAGAGGGGAGGGATTGAGAGGGATTGGGAGGGAGGGATAGGAAACGAGGAGAGAAGCAGCCCGTAGAAGGCAAACCCTCTGCCTGATAGCAGTGTGGGCGACAGCAAAGAAGTCCGCATGCATCTGAGGGAGGTGAGGGTGGGGCTGGGTGGGTGGGAGATTTCATGGGGATTGCAAAGAATTGTGAGGGGTTGCAAGGGATCGTGATGGGTTGTAGGGGATTGTGAGAAGAAGAGAAGAGCAGCAGCCCATAAAAGGCCACTGTAAAGGAGTCCGGATGCATCTGACGGGGGTGGGGGTTGGAGGGGGTTTCAGGGGGGATTGAAAGGGATTGAGAGGGATGTAAGAGATTGCAAAGAGACGAGAAGAGCAGCAGCTCGTAAAAGGCCAGCCTTCCTCCTAATAGGATTGTGGCGACTGTGAAGAAGTCCGCATGCATCTGATGGGGGTGGGGGAGGGCGGGAGAGTGGGAGGAAGGGAGAACGGGGAGAATTTTGGAGGGAGCACGATAGTGGCAAAGAAGGCAAGGAGGAAGGGAGTGGTGCTGGCCTGCGCAATGAGCGTGGGCTGGATGGGGCTGCGGCTTTTGAAACGACTCACAAGTCACTTCGTTTGAGGGGGACCAACGCAAGGAGAGGCAGGGAGAGGCAAGGAGAGGCAAGGAGAGGCAAGGAGAGGCAGGGAGAGGCACGGAGAGGCAGGGAGAGGCACGGAGAGGCAAGGAGAGGCAGGGAGAGGCACGGAGAGGCAGGGAGAGGCACGGAGAGGCAAGGAGAGGCACGGAGAGGCAAGGAGAGGCAGGGAGATGCACGGAGAGGCACGGAGAGGCAGGGAGTAACAGGGATAGGCAAGCAGGCAAGCAAGCGAGCAGGCAGTGCAGCGGTGCTGACCTGAGCCATGAGCGTGGGGTCGATGGGGTTGTCTCCGAAGCCGTACCAGATGAGCAAGGCAAACACTGCAGTGAGCAGCGAGATGAAGCTCACCACCTGGTGGTGCGTGGAGGGAGGAGGGGAGGGAACGGGGTTCTGAGGTGCCTCATAAGAAGCCGTACCAGATGAGCAAGGCGAATACTGCTGTCAGCCTTGTTAGCAGCGACTTGAAATGAAGCTCACCACCTGGTGGTGGTGGTGGTAGTGGTGGGGAGGGAAAGGCTTTTCTGAGGTGCCTCAAAAGTCGTCTGTTAGCCAGCACCAAGGAAGGCAAACACTGCTGTCAGCAGCAATGTTCGTCTGGTGTGAGCCTTGTGAGCAGCGACATGAAATGAAGCTCACCACCTGCTGGTGGTGGGCCGTGACAGGAAAGGGGAGGAGATGCCATGGCTTGGCAGGACATGACATGGCATGGCATGGCATGGCATGGCATGGCATGGCATGGCATGGCATGGCATGGCATGGCATGGCATGGCATGGCATGGCATGGCATGGCATGGCATGACATGGCAAACTACCAAGGAAGGCAAAACAACAGGAGAGGGCTGCGTGCGTGGTTCACTCTCAAGAAAGCTCAGCTGCAGCTTACAGCAAGCACGATGCGCTGCCTGCCCTTCACCCTCAGCTTCTGCCAGCGGAACCGGGGGGTCCTCGCCCCGTCACTTGCAGCACTGCTGCCAACCCCCCCTCCTCTTCCCCCGCCTCCAAATCCTCCTCCCCCTCCTCTCCCCCCTCCTAATCCACCCCCTGCGCCCTGCCTCCCCACACCCCCCATCACCCCTGCAGCAGCATCCAGCAGCGGTTGCTGCAGGGACGCGCCATGCCCCTCCGCACCCTTCCCCACTGCCATTCCCCGGCCACCCTGTGCCTGGGTATGCCTGGCCGCAGTAGCAAGGGAGTGGGCGGAGTGGGCGGAGGGAGGGGTGCCGCTGGTGCTGCTGGCTTCGGATTGGTCCGGGGAGAGGGAGCGAGAGGAGTTGAGAGGGGTGGTGAGCGGGGTGGTGAGGTTAGAAGCGGTGTCGCTGCTGGCAGTAGCTGTGGAGGCAGAAATCGAGTCGCCAGTGGCTTTGTTTGCAGTTCTTGTGGTTGCTCCCCTCGCCCCGGCAAGGCTGCTTGCAGTATGTGCTGGTGGGGCGCTGCTTGCAACACTCTGCTGCTGCTGCTGCTGCTGCTGCTGTTGTGAGTAATTCAATCTGCTGTGCTGCGCTGCTGCTGGTGGCATGGGTGGAAAGGGGTCCGACTTGTGCCTCACCAGGCCACTCCTTCCTGTGCCCATGCCTGCGCCCGTGCCCACGGCCATGCCCATACCACTGAACGCATAAGCACCGTTGCCCACAACCCTGCTGCTCCCTGCTGCCTCTAGGTCACCTCCCTCCTCCTCCTCATCATCTTCCTCCTCGTCCTCGTCTGTGCTGTCCGAGGCCTGGTGGCACAGGTCGATCCTGGTGGTGGTGGTGGTGGCAACATGCAGCAAGGGACCATGTTAACCAATAACTAGCTTAGACGGCCATGACCTACGATGATGAATGCCATGCCACGTTAGGATATACAGCATTGCGCCATGCCCCATTGTGCCATGCCCCATTGCGCCATGCCCCATTGCGCCATGCCCCATTGCGCCATGCCCCATTGCGCCATGCCCCATTGTGCCATGCCCCATTGCGTCATGCCCCATTGTGCCATGCCCCATTGCGCCATGCCCCATTGTGCCATGCCCCATTGCGCCATGCCCCATTGTGCCATGCCCCATTGCGCCATGCCCCATTGCGCCATGCCCCATTGCGCCATGCCCCATTGCGCCATGCCCCATTGTGCCATGCCCCATTGCGCCATGCCCCATTGCGCCATGCCCCATTGCGCCATGCCCCATTGTGCCATGCCCCATTGCGCCATGCCCCATTGCCCCATGCCCCATTGTGCCATGCCCCATTGTGCCATGCCCCATTGTGCCATGCCCTCTCGTGCCATGCCATGCTGTGGCATGCCATGCTGTGCCATGCCATGCCATGCTGTGGCAGTCATACCAGAAGGAGAGGAGCAGCAAAAAGGTTGCGAGGAAGATGATTTGCGGTATGGCTGCAATGCACAGAAAGCACCCAAGGGCACACACGGATTTGAGCAGCAGCCACTGACAGGTAAGGCAGCAGTAACATCAATACAAGCCACGCACGCAAGCAGGAACACAGGGAGAGCTGCACTCATGGTTTAACAACAAACAAACGATTTTCACGGAAATGGAAGTTACAAAAAAATGATGCAGAACACACAGGGAGCATGTGTACATGGGAGCATGTGTACATGGGAGCATGCACAGGGGAGCATGCACATGGGAGCATGGACATGGGAGCATGCAGATGGGAGCATGCACATGGGAGCATGCACATGGGAGCATGCACATGGGAGCATGCACATGGGAGCATGCACATAGAGAGAGATGGGGCACTGCAGTATGGGCCACATTCCTTGGGCGAAAAGGCTCAGCCGTTTGCAGTCTCCCAAGGAGGAGGAGGAGGAGGAGGAGGAGTGCAGCAAAAGAGGACAGCAGGACAGCAGGGACGCACCGAGAGCAATGAAGCTGCAGGCATGGGACCAGCAGAGCCATTGGGAGCAGGAGGCGAAGGGGTTGACGACAAAATAGATGCAGTAGCCTGTGAGGGGGAGGGGGAGGCGGTAGATGGGTCAAGTCGGGAAAAGAGGTCGTAGCTGCAGGCATGGGAACACCAGAGCCATTGGGAGCAGGAGGCAAAGAGGTTGGTGACGAAATAGATGCAGCAGGCTGTGAGGGGGAGGGGGGAGGGGGGAGGAGGATGAGGCAGGCAGATGGGTGAAGGTTGGGAAGAGACTCACCTATCTGCATCATCCTCCTCTCCCCTCACCAAACCTTGCAGCAAGGAGCATGGCATGGTGTGAAGGGAAAACCGGTGGGGCACATGCGACATGTGTCATGTGAATCGCCATGCAATGCCACGGACTCAAGGCTCATGTGAATCGCCATGCAATGCCACGGACTCAAGGCTCATGTGAATCGCCATGCAATGCCACGGACTCAAGGCTCATGTGAATCGCCATGCAATGCCACGGACTCAAGGCTCATGTGAATCGCCATGCAATGCCACAAACTCAAGGCTCATGTGAATCGCCATGCAATGCCACACGGATACTTGTGTTCATCACCACGGACTCAAGACTCACCAAGGTTTGCTGCGAAGACCATGGTGTGGAAGACCTGTGGCGGGGAGTCACCGCAATGACAAGGCATGTGAGAGAGAGAAACGAGGTGATGGGACGGACACATGTGCGTGTGAGAATTCACTCGGGCAACATAAGTGAGTGAGGGCACACGGGAGGGGATAGATGTGCCAAGCACATGTGCTGGATGGGCTTTGCGGACAAACTTTCTCAAAAAAATATCGACAATGCTACATATGTCCATGTGAGGAAGGCGTGGGCTCGCAGCACTTTTGGGGGTGCGCATGGGATGGGGAATTCACGGGTTGGGGCGTTCATTGGATGGGGGTTTCATAAGATGGAAGATTTATGAGATGGGGTGTTCATGGGGATTTCAAAGTTGGGGGATCATGGAATGGGGAGTTCATGGGATGAAGAGTTCATGGGATGGGGAGTTCATGGGATGGGGAGTTTATGGGATGGAGGATAGGATGGATAAGATGGCGCATGCCCATCTCCACCAGCGCCTACCTTTTGGCGCGTCCACTTGCCGTTCTGCACATGGCGGCAGATGCGAATGAGCTGCAGGCGAGCATGGGGGGAAGGGAAAGGCGGGAAGGGAAAGCCGGGAAGGGGCTGGGCATGAAAACGTGGGTCAATCGTTTCCAGCGTGTCATGCATTAAACAGTGAATGATGATGTATTCATCAAGAGTCTGATGGGTGGTTTCAGCAAGAGTCAATGCATATCTCAATGCATGTCTCGCTGCATGTCTTCATTGCATGTCTCATGGCATGATCCATCCGTGTTCATGGCCCGTACCCGTACAGACCTCTTTCCTCACCTGAGCACTGCATTATCGAACGGTCCAGACGACACATGCCTCACCTGAACGGTGCATTATTGAACGGTCCAGATGATAGATGACTCACCTGAACCAGCGCGGTGATCCAGATAACGCCGTCGATTCCCGCCATCACCCAGTTGGTCACCTTTAACGGGTCTGATATGCACTTCCTCGTTCTCCCTATATCGGATATACAATGGGTCCCAGCCACCGCTATAGCGGGGATACACTCCTCGATGAAGCGCCGCATTCCCGACCCTAACGAAGCCAGCCATCGGAGAGACTGCTTCCAGATAACACCTTCCCCAGCCAACCCTCCCCCACCTTCCCCAGCAAATCCTCCCCGATCCAAAACTCCTCCTACCGCACCCCCTCCTCCTCCTGCTGCGCCGCCAGCTTGCCAGTCCCGATGGAAGCCGATCGTTGGCTCGTGGCCGTTGATCAGCGCAGGATGGCCGTCGATCAGTGCTGGCCGACCGTCGATGAGCCCTTGTCGGCCGTCGATCATGGGAGCTGCACCTCCGTCTGTGATTCGGCGAAGGACGTCTGAGGCTACAGGGTTCATGGCGCTAGACTCGGGTTATGCCGCTTGGCTCGGTTGATTGTGCTAGGCTCGGTTCAAGCTCCAGGTTTGATTCATGGCGCTAGGCTCGGTTCATGCAACTAGACCAAAGCGACACATTCACGCGCACGAAGCAATGGCTACCTCTCAAAAATCGACTCAGAAAGCCGTGCCAGATAAGAAATGGGTGGTATCAAAATATAGTAACAACCACTACTACGCGCACGATGGAGTGAGCTACCACTCGCCAACCGTGTCTGGCTGTGGCTGTGGCTATTGCAATAATCCCCAATCGCACCTAGCCTCGGATCCTTCAGCGAAAGTGCACTTCTGCAGAGGGTTGGGAAATCTCCAAACACACGCGAGACGTATGCTGGGCCATGTCAGAAATGAAGTTGTCGTGCGTAATGACTGCAGGAGCAAAGCAGATTGCACTTCGACCGAATTAATCGGTTCCCGTAACGACTTGACGCCTCATAACGAGCAAGCAACTACGCTAGATGCCCAGACCAGTATCCTACTGCTTCGCTATCTCAAGCCTAGCTATTAGCATGACTTCCTTGAAAATGGATGTAAATGTTCGTCATAAGCCTTTGACGCTCTGCGAACTGGAATCTCTGGGAATTGGTGTTGCCGTGACCTATGATTCTGTCGGACAGCGTCGCTTTTAAATCGCAGAGAGGTGTTCGCGAACACTCCCTGACACAAGCGAAGCTTCTGCGCTAGATGACGATGCCTAGGTTACAACGACGAAGACTGCTGGGTTCGTCGTCACGGAGCTGTGCGAAACGCGGCGACATCTTCCAGCACGCCGACCTCGCCGCTGCAAGCAACCTTTGCTGGAATGCAGCGAGTACGAGCTTGCCATGTCAGACTGCTGGCCTCCACGTGCCCACAGGTTAGGAGATAAACCAGGTACTGGTGGTGAGGTGATGCTGTGGTGGAATACGGTACAGAGCCACTGGAGTTTTTTATGGAGGTGGCATAAATTATTGCATTTCAAAGAGCATCCTCTCTCCACTGGGGCCCGGACCCAAAAAGTCAATTTTAGCTCAACACAAGCGGTTGAGTTCGATATCGCACAGTCCAGAGTGGTCTTATCTCATCACCACTTTGAACCGCTACTCACCAGCCTGAACATCCATAATAAAAGAACGTTAATAATTAAAAGGGTGTTTCGTTACACAAAATGTACGTTCATTATTAATGTTGGCCTCAACCACGAGCTCCGCGGTTCTCGCCTCCTAAATCGCACCATGGGCTACGAGTATGATACAATTATTGCAAAGCGGATCTGTGACGCGCGATGCGCTGCTGAGCGGCCCACACGAACACGTTACTCGTAGGCTCGGACGAAGCAGCTCTAGATAGTGTCGCGCCGCGAACCATAGCTGACGCTGGGCGGGATGTTGGCGGCGTTCCAACACGAACTGGATCCGAGACTCCGATAGTGGTTTGAAAGCGTCGTCCGTACGAGGAGACGGCCGCTGGTGAAACGGACCCGCTGATGGTTCCAGGCTGCGATGCCTCGGATAGTACTGGCCACCGCGGCGACGCATGTCGTGGCACGGGAGAATTTAGGGTTGCCAAAGAAGGAACGCTCTGCCAGCGTGACAGGCTTCTCCGGCTTGTAGCTGCTTCTAATCCCGCAGCCCTCTCAGGAACACTCCCTCGCTTTTCCAGTGTCTCCCGCGTCTCCCGCATCTCCTGTGTCTTTAATGTCCTCCGTGTGGTTGGTGATAATTCAAGAGACTCATAACCCGCCACTTCAAGCTGCGCCGGTCGGGCTTGACAGCGAGCAGCCGCAACCTCCGCCGATGGAAGAGCATTACCAGACGTTTCAGCCGCGGAATATTTGGCAGACGGAATATTCGTGTTTTCGGGTGCAAGAGATGAAGCATCCTCAGGCGTCGCGATGATCGGAGAACTCCGGGAGCGCGCGGGCCGCGCGCCGAGAGGGGAGGTACGTTGGTGCTTTGTAGTACTAGCGGAGCTTCCCGTAGCGAGGTTCCACATTTCCAGACGAAGGTTGATGTTTGAAAAACGACGGCCGACTGACATGACATCCTCCGAGGGTACATGATCGGATGATGCGTCGCCGGCGGAATCATTTAACTCCGCCGACTCGGACTCTGAGGCACCGCCGGCGGCGCCGCGAAGCACCACGTCTGTCTGGCAGGGGAGGACCTCGAACTGCGATACGGCCGTTACGGAGTTGCGCCGCCGCGGGTCGCGGAGAGTCGGCGCCGTGTTTTGTCCCATTGGGAGAATCAGAGGGGATGTATCAGCAGCAATAGCGGTGGGAGCTGATGAAAGCTCTGTCGGTAAGCGTACGATCAAGGATCCCATGAGTTGCAACTGAAGGTACC